CCTCCCACTCACCTGACACCTGGGCCAGGACTCAACACCATGTCCCCTGACCTCTGCCCTCTGACCTCCCACTCACCTGACACCTGGGCCAGGACTCAACACCATGTCCCATGACCTCTGCCCTCTGACCTCCCACTCACCTGACGCGTGAGCCAGGACTCAACACTACACCCCCTGCCCTCTGCCCTCTGAACTCCTGCTGACCTGACACATGAGCCAGGACTCAACAACCAGCCCTCTGCCCTCTGACCTCAAACCCCATGCTCACCTGACACCTTGGCCAGGATCTCCCTCTTTCTGACCTTTACTATTTTGTGTGTTTTCACATCTCAAGAGAATACACAATGAATCGGGGAACACTGAATGTTACTGAGCTCATTATGAACATGATTGTTCTTAAAGCGGATTTCTGAGCCGTTTATATCCTTTTTCTAGGCTATTCCATAATGTGATTTCAGTGCACGCTTGTCATATCTTTTTCTTAAATTGCTCAGTGATGTCTCCACAGTTACACTCACATTGTATCCAAGTGATGAAAAATTAAAACTACCTTCCTGTTTTATTCAAGGTCACTGTGTTTCATTGCTGCTGTGTCCCTCTGACTGTGTCAAAAATATTGAACAGACTGCAAACAGGTCATAGAGATGACCTGGGCGGGTGGTGCTCTGGCTCTGTGGCTCACGATCTGCACCTGTGGCTGGAGAGTTGCTGGTTCGTGTCCTGCGGCCAGCAGAGGAATCCTACTCCTTTAGGCCCCTGAGCAAAGCCCTTAACCCCAGCTGCTCCGGGGGCGCTGTACAGTGGCCGACTCTGCGCTCTGACCCCAAACTTCTCTCCCTGTCTGTGTGTCTCATGGAGAGCAAGCTGGGGTATGCGAAAAGACAGATTCCTAATACAAGAAATTGTATATGGCCAATAAAGTGATATTATCTTAGATGCCCCAGCTAACACGAGAACAGGTACAGAAAGCATGCTCAGGTGTAATGACAAATACAGGAAGCAGAATACAGGGACACAGGTACAAATTTGTCTTGGGCACACAAACCTTCTCGGCAGTCTGTACCAGAGCCCAGCTGCTGGTAAGACCTGCAGTCTGACTGGACAGAGACAACAGTGAAAAACCTGGAGTGGATCAGACTGCTGAGCAGTAGCATGGGGGCAGCTGGCCAGCATGTCCAGCCCCTTGTACACCAGCCAGCCAGTTGCGGGTGCTAAGGCCAGTTAAAGTGGACAGGTCAATGATGGAGAGACTGGTGAGGCTGTTTCCTACTGTAAAGACATAGTGCTTCTCACTGGGAAACAGAATCGGTTACAGGCAGATTTAAGGTGACGGCATGCAATCACAAATAAACCCCTAAACTGTAGGAGCTGTAGCTACCTGTCAGTCACAGCTCCCTCAGGAGTATCTTCTATCCTGGAAAGCTTGAGGAATCACACCTCACTTTTCACAGCCTAGAGAAACACTCCCTGGCAGACTGCATGGACACACTCAGTGCAGTGTGGGACAAGACTCCAGAGATCAACAGCAGGGCGATAGAGAGAAAATTAATTTGTCACAATTTCAGATTCCGGTGAGACACCCAGATACACATACAAGAAGCGTCGAGATGTACATTATGGGTATTATTGAATTAGTTCAATATTCCTAAAATGCGTTCACAAATTAATAACCTCAGCGATCTATTAACTTGCTCCATTACCAGATTTGCCAGCAGAGGGCGCTCCTTCCCCACGTTTCCCTCAAAACAGCGGCATCCCTGTTTTTTAGTGGTATTGTACTATGCGTATTCGTCGCTTTTCAGGAGTAATTTATTCATATATAATGCTGAATTGGTGTTTTCAATGTGATTTAACCGCAAGTCTTTTGCGTAGCCTAGGAAGCGGTTATTAATAGTTGTATATCCCTGTTTGTGCTCTGCTCTACACCTCTCTCGGGATAACTAGTTTGTCCCGGGTTAGCCGTACCGTAAATCACGCTTCTGCGTGTCCTGTCGGAGCACCGACCGGACCATCCAGTATCCGATTAGAAGCCAAATAAGTCAATACTATCTGCGATTGCTAGCACTTTCTAACGAAGCATGTGCATGGCTTCATTCCCACATGTCACTCTGTAAGCTTTTTCATTAGGAAGCCTCTACACGCGTTTTCCAGAGCTTGGTTGGAGTGGACAGTATCAGTTTTCTACAAGGAGCAGGGGTATGGCTTCGGATGGCGTCAGATACACGATAGTTTAACCCCGCCGGTTACTGGGTGCTGGTTCGGTAGCACCTTCGCACGAGCCCCCTGTCCTCCGTTGTTTTGGGTCGTTTTCTTCCGTGGACAGGGCGGTTACTGGGACACTCACCCCCCTGCCCGGGGATGCCCAGTTCTCACTGGGGGAGGGGGGTGCAAGTCACTGCTGAGAGCTCAGCGTTTTCAAAGCCGTCTCCCCTCCCCCAGCTAAATAAACAGCTCGGGTAACCCGTTCTGCCGTCTACAAATGGCAGAAACCTACAGGCAGCTGTTGGCCGTGGAGGAAATCGTGCCGAAGCTAAGCTACAAAGGTCAAAACTGTCTCAGAAACGGTCTGGGTGTCTAATAATGAAAGACAGTGTTGTCTGTGCTAGAATGCACTTCTCTCCTCTCCACTGCCTGGGCTTGTTGTCAGGACTCGGAAAAGGCAACGTCAGACGCTAAAATGTAAATTTTATATTTACAGCAGAGCCACACGAAAGAGGTTTCACAATGACTGAGCTGAGTAATAAATGTCCAGTGCGGGACGATTTACCCCTTAGAAACCGACATCAGAAGTCAGCAGTTTTTGTCCAGGTCTAAAATTTATGATACCGTCGCTATGTCTCGATTTGTTTTGTCACACATAAATATTTTAAGCAGCAGATTCCTTAAACGAACGGGGCATCGTGTTCTCAAAAGACATAAGATCCCAGTGCTTTTCTGAGGGTGGGGTGGACAAATACGATCGGGTTTCAGGCTCAACTAACACGAAGCAGACCGTCAATGGACAGGAGGAAATAACACTAATGACTTTTTTTCACTTTATATTTGATTATCAATCAAATCAAATGTTAACCCCCTTCATGGGAATTTAAAAACAATTTTTTGTTCAAGGTACACAGCACCATAAATTGTTTACACCGAATCTAAGAATACCCCGCCTCATCTGACTTCAGGGGCGTTACTGAATTTGCAGCGCCCCAAACCGTCTACACCCAAACCTCAGAGGAGAAAACATTTTTCTAGCTCACAACAATCACCTATTGAAAGTTTTTCTAATGTGGCCACGTAACCATGACTGCACCCTCTTTCTCTGAAAGCCCTTTGTGCGGCGGCCTACATGCTAATTATATTTTACCGCTTGGAACTCGTGATTGAACACAAAATGGCGGACGCAAGTCATTCCCGCACTCCAAACCCACAAAATGGCGCCCGATAGAGGAACAGACAACGGGAAATTATTTAGCATTTCTAACTCGCTGACACGTTACCCCCAAACAAGAAAACGCATACTTTCCACACAGAATACCACATATTACCTTAACTCTGCCACACATTCACTTTATACAGTGTAAAATTACACACGTTGACATTAACAGAAAAAAACGACCAGCTGGTCTTTAATCTCCCATTGCTAACATACATTTTTGTCAACCCGAATCCACTTCAACTCCCAGGATTAGCTTTCCCTAACTCTCGTTTCAGAGTGTTTAAAAGGTGTAAGATTCGAGGAGATATGAAGCGGGGTTTAACAGTAAATCCACTGTATTTATAGAAATTCACTTTAATTCCTTCCATGGATAATTCCAAGGCACAAAAGGGAAGGGGACACAGCAGACGAGCTGAGAATTCAATAAATCCCAAACAGGACCAAAGCCCTTGATTCGTGTGTAAAAGAGGGTTTTATTCTCTTTGTGAAGCTAGAAATCTGAGACAGTCTGTAGTTCCCTTTTTAAAATAAAGCCAGGTAAATCGTTTCCACCATAATATTCCCCAGAAAGAACCAGGTTAATATTTCTATTACTCCCTTCAAGTTTTATTTTAAAACCAGAAGAAGTTTGTAGGCTGCAGTGTAAATCTTATTCGTGGGTAACTCCAAGTATTTTCCTGTTTTGTCTTTGTTTGGTGATGGCAGTTGTATATTTTATATATATTTTTTAAAGAATATCCTCGGTGACTGAAAGTTTCTCTCCTCTCTGTGCGTCTTTTCCAGAAGTTTCTGCCGACCAGCGATTTCCCTTCTCCAACCCGCAGAAAAGAGGGCGTGAGGCGCATGCGCACACACCCCACTGCGGCTCCCCCGGTTTGCCGCATAGTGGCGCATGCTCAGTGGCGCCTAGCAACGGCGACGGAGCGGCCACACGAACTCTGTGTGCGCGGCCGGGCGTGTGTGCGGCGCGTTGAGCAGCACTGTCCCACCAGGACTCGCGTCTGCCTCTCCTCTCACTCGAACAAGGGCTTACATCGCCCCGTCGAGTCACAACCGGCTTCCTCTCCGTTTCTAGCCATCTTAAGGGACCAATTCTTTACCATTTTAACAGACTGCGCCCCCTTACCTCATTAATTTAAATCGTACGTGTCAAGACACGTGAAATGCAAACGTGGGCAGACACTTGTAATATGATATCCCATCCATGGTGTCAAATGTGTGATGACCACATATGTAAATAAATATTATGAAGCAAAGCAGACTATTCATTATGATTCAACGGGTCTGGGATTCTGACCTCTGATTGGTCACTCATGGTTCCAATACTGTCCTCCGATTGGTGGGTTGTAGATCCGATGCTGTGCTCCGATTGGCCAGTCACAGTTCCTATGGCCAGCGCAGGACCCCTCTGGAGTGAACAGCCAGTGGCAGTGCCTGCGCAGGGTACACAGCTCACCTTTCCTGAACGACACCAGAGACCTGCTGGACACAGCCGGACACATCTTCTTGAGGAAGATGACAGTGGCCAGTGTGTCCTGGTCTGGCCATGATAGCTGCGCCTTGTTTCCCCTGCTCTCCCTTCATGCTTCCCCATGCTCTGACCAGCAGGGTGTTTGCTCCTGCAGTCACACCTGGTATCACAGCACCACTGCGCTCAGCAGCTCACAGGGAGACCCAGCAGCACAGACCTGGTCGCCATTCTGAAAAAAACAAGTCAAGTCTGCTGGAGCTCTGTGGACAGAGAGGCCAGCAAGGAGTACTCTGCAGGTCTCCTGTCATGCAGGAGGAGGGGGAGCAGACAGACCCTGAGAGAGCACAGCCCATTAGCCAAAACAATCCAAAGGCACAGGCAGCATTTCCTCTCTGAAGTGAATGTTCCTAAAATAAACATGAGCCGGTCAACCACAACAAAGTCCACAGTTCTGATAAGGATGACAGATGCCACCAGCTCGGCCCTGACCGCAGGAGTCTGACAGTGGCAGTGCTGTGGCCAAGCTGGCCCACTGCAGAGGCAACATGCATACCCCCAGAGCTCTCACACTGCTGCCAGCTCGCACGCGTGCGGAGTGTTGTGTAGTTTGTGAGTGCAGTGTTGTGTAGTTTGAGAGTGTAGTGTGTGTGCATACTGCTCTCCCTCCTCTTGCTGCTGAGCCGCGCGCTGACCTTCACAAAGTCACACTGCAGCTGTGCTCGCTTCTAAATAAAAGTCCCTGTCACACAGGTCTGTGTGTCCAGGCCCTCGCTGAGCTCTGCAGCACACGGGCGTGAGCACACACACACACACAGCGGGTGCACGGGCGTGAGCACACACTCGCACAGCGGGTGCACGGGCGTGAGCACACACACACACACTCGCACAGCGGGCACACGGCGTGAGCACACACACACACTCACACAGCGGGTGCACGGGCGTGAGCACACACACACCCTCGCACAAAGAGGAACAACAACAACAACAAGGATCAGTTTATTGATAAAGCGCCTTTCCAAACTCAAGGGCGCTGTACATGGTGATAAAGAAAAAAAGGAGAAAATAAACATTAAACAAATGAAACAAGAACATATGAGACAAACTCTAAGGAAGCCCAACGTAGGCCCTAGTAGAAAGGTGAGTTTTCATTTTAGACTTGAAAAGAGCCTAATTATGTAGTTAGAAGTGTGAAATGAAGAACGGAATGTGTGGATAAAGTGTGAAAGCTGCAGGATTTAAATGAAAGGACGTTGTGTTAAAACAACGGAGGTGAATCCCCTTGTCGTGAACAGAGAAGAAACTGATTCATATATTCGACATCTTCAAGGGTTTCGACAGTAAGCCTTGTGGATTTCTGCAGAAACAGTCCAGCGACCTGCAGGGCACGGGTCCGGATCAGGGGAATCGCGTTTGCAAGGGAGAGCAGGAGCCACTTCTTCACACCGAGAGTGGTGGGAGTGTGGAACAGGCAGCCAGGCCATGAGACTGAACCCGTATGCTGGCTGTTTGCTGTGATGTTTTAAATCTGGGTTTCAGATCACCTTCGTGACAGAAAGGGCAGCGATCCCGCTGTGTCCGCGCTCAGCTAGGAGACCGAGTCCGCAGCCGGTCCGTCTGAACGGGCTCCGAGCCCCCACACCCCACCTTCCGGGGGCGCCTGTGCACGTGCCAGCGTTTCCCAGCACCCCTCCCCTGCGCGACCCCTGAGGCGCGCGGCGGGGGGGGCGGTTCGCAGAGGGGTCTTCTCAGTAGTTTCAGGATTAAATGTCCCAGCGGTCACGCCGGCGTGTTGCTGTGTCGTGGGCAGGACGCTGGCCGTGTCCCACGCTGCTCTTTGTGCAGGATTCCCGGGCGAGATTACAGCGGGCGTGGAGTCTCGGCTCAGCCGCTCGTGACCTTTAATTAAAAATAACACCTCGAGCGCGCCGAGCTCGAGCCCTGCAGTCGCTGCGCGGACGCGTCAGGGTTGGCCAATAGTTTATGCTAATATATATAAAGTATATTGTCAACCATTTTTCTCCTCGGTTATAGAGCATTCTGCAGGCGCGTTTATACAATCTTAATAGCAGAAGAATATTAAACAGAACGGAAGTTATAGTATTAAAATTAAACTGGTAATTCTGCAATATAATTAGCCTTTGTAGGATTAAATATATGTTACACAATTAAAACACGGGAATAAATTAAACTCGAGCGATTTATCTGAAAGATTTAAGATAACGGGGGGGAGAAAGATCTGTTATTTCTGATTGCGCTGTGTGGATTACAGTCGATTCCGTCCCTCTGCATTAAAAAAACAACATTGCGCAATAATAATCGGCAGATTTCACAGTATTAAACAGACCCCAGCCCTGCACCCCTCCCCCACCAGCTCCCAGAGACAGCTTCCGCGCCTGCGCAGAGCCGCCAGTGATTTCATTCGAGAGACAACAACACAAAACGCCCCTCCCCCCCGCTCTGCTCCCACGCCTGCGCACTGCCGAGGGCCTGACAGAGCGGGGGAGCGGAGGAAGCAGGAGGAGGGCGCTTGGCGGCGGGAGCGCGCGAATGCGCGGGCACAAGGGCGCGCCCCCCCTCCCCCGCCACCCGGGAACGTGCATCTGGTCCGAGAATCACACACGCACACAGCACGAGAACTAATGGTGGGAGCGGGTCGGAGCGAGGCGCTGTGCTCGAGACGGAATCTCCGGGCGCTCAGTTTGCAACGCGGACAACCAACCGGCGAGGATTAAACCCTTAAAACACATCTGTATGATCGGGGGACACGAACACGCAGTATGGTCCGGGAAACCAGGCACCTCTGGGTGGGGAACTTGCCCGAAAATGTGCGAGAGGAGAAAATTATCGAACATTTCAAACGGTGAGTTTCGTGCAGGGCGAACAGCATACGGCATCATGGACTCCGTCCGCCTGTATCTCTGCGCTCGCCGAGGATGGGAACGGCGGAGCCGCCGTGAGAAATTACAGCGGAAAAGTAACGAGAAACAGAAATGCCTCCCGTGGATTATAAACTGTTCTTTGTGGGAATATTTTATTGCGCTTGGTTCTTTCTTAAAAAAAGGGAGATCCTGAAATGTTGTGGAAGGAATATTGCATACGCGCGGTCGTTGAGGATGTATATACTTTTTCGTTTCCTATTTTTGCGAAGATGGATAGGAGGTGGAGGAGCGGAGCAGTGGAGACGGCGGTAATGATGTCTGAGCGGAGAGGCTGCGGTCGCGAGGAGAGCAGCACTGGGGATCCCGAGCGCTTTGTAGTCGCGAGGCGGCGGTCCCGCGCGGTGTAGCCGCCCGAGCGCCCGGCAGCTCGAGGCTGTGTTCAGAGACGCCGCTTGTAAATGTATCTTTCCTGCGCGAGCCGTGAGCCGGGGAACACGCGGGACGCGAGCTGCTACAGTTGCCGCTCTCGCGCGAGCCTGCGGTTGGGCAGCCGCCGCATAGCCTCGCGCTCGGACCCCGCCAGCCCGCGCTCTGTTATGGGTTCGGCTGCGGACGCGACCGCGCGCCGTGTGAACCCCCGTTCAGCTCGGGGGGACCGGCTAGCGCCCCGAGTCCAGAGGTCTGACCCTCGCCGTGGCCGCCCCTCGCTGGGGTGCTGCAGTTGTGCGTGGGGTGCTCGAAACCAGGGCCCCGCTGGGTTTGGGGGATGCGTTTTAAGAGCCCCGGCCGCAGGTTCGGGGTTCCGAGGGGTTCACGTGCAGCGTGCGGGCGCTGGAGGGGGGACCCCGAGCCCCTGGGTGCTCTTTTGGGGGTGCTGCTCCAGTGCCGGGTCACCCCGGGAGACGCGCTTGCTCAGACCGCTGATGATAACGGGGCGTGTTGCCCAGCCTGCCAGTGTTGGGGTTCCGGGGGCTCGCCGTGTCCCCGGCTGTTAAAGCCCCGCGCGTGGACGGGCTGTCAGAGCGGCGGGTCGCGGCCGTGGGGCCGTGGGGGAGGGGCGGTGAGTGAGAGTGAATGGGTTTGTAAAATGGCGTCCGGGACGCGCGAGTGTGGGAACCTGCCGGGCCGGGCCGGACTGGCCGAAACCTGCCGCGCTGCAGGGCAGTGCGCACGGGGGCTCGCGTGTGCCAGGCGCACGTCCTGCGTGTCTGAGGAGGCGTGAGTGGGTTTTCCCACGCCGGGCGCGCTTTTCCCTGCACTGTTGTTACTGGTGACCCTGATCGCGCCTGGGCCCGAGCAGGGGGGACCCAGGAGAACAGCGGCAGTGGGGCGAGCGGTCGGGAAGGGAACAGAACCGGCTGGCGGGGTGACTCGGGAGAATGGGTTGCAGAGACGGGGGTGACATTACCGCACGCTTGTCTTGCGTGGGGGTCCAGGTCAGTCCTGCTCGGTGATGGTGGCAGTTGTCCCCTCCCGTGTTTATTCAGACACGGTCACACGCGTGTGCAAATACACGCACTCGGACCCAGGCCTGCCGGTTCACCCCACCGCCTCTCCGGGCTTCTGTTTGCTGAATCGCTGTGGTGTTGGGTTTCGTGCGCAGTTGCCTGGTTACTGTTGCTTAGCGAGGGGTAGGGATGGCGCACAGCAAGATGCCCGCTCCTGGGCGAAGGGCTGACCTCGGAGTCTTCCTCAGCTGGGGCTCCTCGCGTGTCCAGTGTGGGGTTTTCCCCTGTTTCACACGCTGTCCTGAAACTCATGGTCAGTACTGCAGTGTGGTGGTCAGTACTGTGTCCTGAAGCTGGTGGGCAGTGATGCAGTGTGG